ATAAATCTGACCATTCTGAAAACGTGGGAGAGTTTGTGGGCCTTGTGGCTGTGGAGATAGAGACTAAACAATGCATCCAGGGTTCCAATTGCAGGAGGGTTCCAATTGCAATTGGAATTTGGAACCCTTTCGTATGCGCATGCACCTTGCGCAGGACGAAGTATTGTTCGTTAGCAATTATGTTAAAGCACTGCAGTACTTCCTAAAGTTGTGCCTGTTAACAAGCCACGATTTTTGGAAACGAACAAACGGGCCACTAGAGGAGCGCCCAAATTCATCCGAGTAGAAACTGGGCCAATTACTGGTGGTTTAACACGAAAGTTTCTGACGAGTGGGTTGCAGGCCGACTCTCCAGGGAGCTTTGTGAGATAAGAGGCGGCCTGCAACCCCTCGTAATAGAAGAGGGGTGGGTGCTGACGCGAGGGAATAAGGTTTCAAAAGAGCCTTGAAGTATAATAGCATACAGTGCGAGGAACTCTGTACATGGGATAGCACTCAGTGCACTGCAAAGCCAGCAGTACGCAGAATAGCACATAGCACATAGCACATGGTCAACAGGGCTCAGCATAGCACATACCCCACACAGCGCCCAGCGCCCAGCACCCAGCACACAACACACAACAGTCAGCACACAGCACACAGCACACAGCACACAGCACACAGCACGCAGCACACATGGTCAGCAAGGCTCAGCACTGACCACACACACACACACACACACACACACACACACACACACAGACACAGAGGGAGAGAGAGAGAGAGAGAGAGAGAGAGAGAGAGAGAGAGAGAGAGAGAGAGAGAGAGAGAGAGAGAGAGAGAGAGATTGTACAAGGAAAAACACAAAGTAGAAGCAGGAAAATAAAACGATAAGAATAAAAATAATACAAAGTTCCGGGGTTCCAGGGTGCATTTAGAGCTAACCCATGCCGTCGGTCAATCACATTGAAACAAAAACCCCTACCGACTACGTTATCTTTCTCATATTTTACCTCGTCTCGCATATCACATACAAGCTTGGTTACAAAAACGAACCACTTGCTCCACTGCGCGTGCAGGGTAGAAAACCATCTGTGCTCTTCTAACCGCCCAGTTTTCCAACGAAAGAATCTGGTCACCCAACAAAGCCAGATGCTATTCCATCTCATCTCTCGAGGAAGTTCAGCTAACCTCTAAATCAAACCAATCAGATTTGGTACCCATATAAAACCATCTGTCCCCCAATAAAGCCATCTGGTCCCCACATAATGCCCATTGGGACTGTAAAGAAGGCTACCTCGTGCCCCTAACAACCCATCTGGCTTCCGATCACCACCCCAGGGCCTCTGCTCCCTCGTCCACACCATCCATCCTCTAGTCCTTGTTTCAACGATCTTCTACATGATCAGCGGACCATTTCATCCCCATTACAAATCCATTTCTTCTGCCCCCATCAAACGTTGCGCACGTCTGGACTCTGGAGTGCGAGGAAGAACCGCTTTTCCCACACACCATCTGGTTCACAAGCACACAGAAAGACTACAAACACCCCTTCTCCCCTGTAGCAGTAGACGGATACAATCCCCCCCCCTCCTCTCTCTCTCTCTCTCTCTCTCTCTCTCTCTCTCTCTCTCTCTCTCTCTCTCTCTCTCTCT